TTTTTGCTGACGAGTTGTAAAAAACCTCAGATATGATTCCCTTCTCCTCTCCCAAGAAACAACATTCTACCCAAGGGATACAGACAAACATGCACCCCCTGTGAGTGTGTGCCATGAGTTATGGACACACAAATGCATAAAAAGCAGGCTCAGATACATGCCTGCATTCAAAGACACCCACACACAGCTCCACAGGCAAACACCCACAAACTTCCACTCACTAGTCTACGTCCTTAACTAGTGATTTTCATTCTTTAAGCCTCACATGTCCTTGTCTATTAACCAGCCCTATCCTGCAGAGATTCAGTGAGATACATTTGGAAGTACGAACTGTAAAACAAGCTGCCTATGAAACGTGTTATTCATGGGAATGCCTTATAGAGCTGCTTGCAGAAAAGCCTGGGGCATTTATGGAACCTTCTTTTATCTTAAATTGTTGTTTTTTGTAAGTATTAAAAATAGGTTGAATTCAACCAAGTCATTTTTCAGGAATAGTTCTCAAAAATCCATTTGGAGAAACAGATACCTTTTGAGTTATAACAACTAATATTTGAATAGTACAATTAAAATTTACAAAATGTTTTCATATCCATGATTTAATCTTACAGGGAAATTCTACAAGAATAGGTATATTATTATTAACTCTATTCTATAGATTAGGAAATTGAAGATCAAAAAGGTCAAAAAGTTGCCCAAGGTCCCAAAGCTAGAAATGAGAGGAGCCAAGATTCCAACCCGTATCTTCAACCACTGATAACTAAACTCCCATTTATAAATAGCCGGCATCCTGCTAAGTTATTTTGATTATATGTGATTTAAGCTCTTCGAAAAATCCCTAAGTTAGACATCATTACTAGCCCCATTTCACAGGTGAGAAAGCTGAGCCTTAACTAGAAAGTGGCAGAGCTAGAATTCTGCCCAACCAAAGGGAAAGCAGTTTATATTTATTTTCATATCCAGATGACATAGCTTAAGGAAATTATCATGGGGGTGTGAACTGCATAATTAGCAAGTGTCGGGAGAATGTGCGTAAGAGTGCATCAGAGATTTAGTTTTAAATTACCCACATCCCACCTTTATTCCTTACTTGCTGGTCATGGGCTAGGTGCTCTCTTTAAACCTCAGCTTCCTCATGTGAAAAGTTGAAGTACTGATTCTTAGAGGGCTGTTGTGAAGATTAACGGGGACGGACTGCATGCAGCACAGTGCCTGCCACACCAACTGAAAGTGGCTACTATTACAGTGGGCAATTTATTTTCAGACAACTTGCCCACTGAGATACTGTCACTACCACCTTGGGCTGTCATGTCCCCGTTTTTTCCTGTCCTACCTTGCACTGCAGTGATAATATAGAACAGAAGGACTGACTGAATGGAAAAAACAAAAGGCCCATTTGAAGAACTCACAGTGGGGGAGCCACTAGTTATACAATCATTCCCTCTTTGCAGGTGACATTTCTGTCAATAGGTGGCAATCTCTCTCTTTGTCTCGCACAGCCCCGCGCCGCAATGCAGAGGTGCAGTGTTGGCTCCTGCAGCTCCACCCAGCTCTATCCTCCGTGATAAGTTGTGCGGGAGGTGGGAGAATGGGGTGAGTGCCCCACAAAGACGGGTAGGGGGATCTACCAACACAGGGGAGGTCTCATCTGCAGCCTCATAGCCCTCCCTAGCGATCTCCATTCACAGGCATGCTTTAATGCAGAATCAACAATGAGGAAAATTTTCTTGAGCGAGACAGCCTTTGTGCCATTGAAAGCCCTTCTCCAAGTCCTGTCTTCTTTGGGAGTGGGAGTGTCAGGTGCCTCCCTGAGGTGACTAGAAAGTTCCTTAGGGTGGTGGGGGGGGTCTCACCTATCTTCTGAGGGACTGATTCTGAGTGGGAAAAAAGTACACCTTGAGAGGGTTTGAACATGCTTATGGGTTGGAGCAATGGTGGAGAGGGCTGTGGTGAGGAAGAGGGAGATGAAGCAAGGTGGCAGGTGGCAGTGGGGAGAGGGGTGGCTCTCGATGGCTGATTCAAGGGGCTCTCCACAGAGACTATGGGCAGTGAGAACCTTGGAAGGTTTGGGATTGGGCAGGTAACATGATGGATATGCTTTGGAATGTTTATTTGTGTTGGGTCCTTTCTGAAATCCTGATTCAAAGTGCAGGGCAGCCTGGATGGTGAGAGGATGGAAGCAGGAAAACTGGCCAGGTTTAAGATTATAATCTAGTCGGGATGACAAGGGCCTAGGCCTCAAGGCCAATGTTAATTTTAGCACCTTCAGTACAGTGAGGCGCTGCAGATATCTCTGTCCTCACAACCTCTGTGGAGGTCTCTGTATTTTTAGTCCCATGTAACAGATGCAGAGGCACTGGAGGGTCAGAAAAGCTCTGTGATGCATGGAGGCCTGAGAGTTGAGGAGGCCTGATAACTGGTGAGAGCTGAGTCAGGAGCAGAACGAAGATCAGTCTGACTCCAGAGCTTCAAGGTTCCCTTTTGGGGTACAATCCAGGCAGGGAGCTTCTGGGGGAGGGGACAGTTCCAAGGGCTGGTACAGGGTGAGGTCACGAGGTACAATGCAGTTTGTGAAAATAAAATAGAACTGTTTGCTCTGCGACTGTAACAATTTTAGGAATGAGGTCCCAAAGCAGTATGAGGATTTCATGCACGTGTAGATAACCACAATGGCACAGGGATGTTCTCTAGGAATATGACGTTACAGACAGGTTCAATATTACAAAGTATGAATCTGTTAAGTCTAAATGTACCTGTCAGAATGTAATCGATTTGAGTGGGGGTAGAGGGTGTGTTTTGGAAGTGTGGACACTCAGATATATTGATACAAAGCAACAAAATATCTGCCTGCAAGGGAGAAACATTTGATTTCTAGCTTTATCCTTCTGCATCATCTCCCTGCCTGGCCTCCATATTGTTTTCATTTCATGTGTTGCAAGCTGAACTCTGGAGATTTAGTCTCATGGTGAGTTTTCACATTGCAGACTCCCCTTTACAGAAGATGGAATGGGAACATTCCTGGCTTTTTACTAGGTAGAAAGTATCTGAGCAATGGTCAGCCATTGAATGGTAATAATGATACTTCATGCTTGTACAGCAATTTTGGTTAATCTGTAATTTTTACTATTGATTCCCAAAATCTTTTAAGATAGGCAGGCAGGGGTTACCTCTGAGGCCCTTCCAGATTTAAGATCCTATGATGAAAGTAAAACTGAGGCTCACAGCTACATGTGACTGGTCCAAGTTCTCACAGTTGTAGAGCTGAGGCTTGGCCCTAGGTCTGCAGACTTTAATCCCAGCCTCTTTCCACTAAACACTCTACCTCTTTACAAATCAAAGCCAGGAAAGGTGTTGTCCTGCATCCAAGGTCTTAAAAAATGGAAATTAATTTTGCAATCAAGAAAGATCCTTTGCTAGTAACTGGAGAAGCAAGTTATCTGCAAAACCACCAATAGAGGTGATCATGTATCTGAGTCTCTGGGCCAACCAGAATTAAGTCTGAACATAAAATACACTTTGAATGTTTAAATAAAGTCTTCTGAAGTAAAAAAATTTCTGGAAAAACAGTGTGCTTTGGCAGGGAAGGAAGCTTACATGCAAAGCCATAAAACCGTCAGCTTAATATACCATCATTTCACTAACATGAAGTGGGTCGGCTCTGTCCCCTCCATTCTTTTTCTCCTAACAACTCTTTTAAAAAAGAACAGCTTTACTTATGCCAAGGTGGAATTTTGGCTTCACTTGCCACTATTCTGCGACAGAGTGGCTTTGTTGACGTGAGAAAGGCTCTCTTTGCTTTGCCAGAATTAGTCATGGAAACTTCACAGGAACACCAGGGCCCCTCAGATATACACAGAGTACCATGGAGCTGGGGACAAAGGAATTCAAAGAACTGGGGAGAGCAGGGGGAGGTCTGCAGTGGGGCATATCGGGTGAGATGCTGGTTGCCCAGGCAGCTCTTCTGGAACCCAGTATCACAGGCCTGAGAAAAGCAGAGACAAAGAGCAAAACCACTTCAGGACCTTGAAATCTGGCTGGAGTATCTCCTGCCCTTGTTCAAGTCAATCTGGCTGGAATATCTCCTGACCTTGTTCAAGTCTCTCTGATTTTTTTTTTTTTCTGAAAAGAAATGTGTTGGTGCATCCTGCATATGCTATGGAAAGAGGAGGAGGGAGTGGTGATTTCTAGCAGTGGTTCTGATGTGTGTGGCAGGAGGCACTGCATTTGTGCCATCTGTACTTTAAGTTTCCCTTCCTTATATGTGCTCACAATCAGTCCCTCATCTCAAGGTTAATGCACCAGGGCTAGACCCAGGTTTTGTGGGGCCTGAAGCTTAAACAGTTTGGGGAGGGCTCTGTAAGAAAAAGAATATACAATTGTAAATGCAAATTTGGTACAGAAACTTGGAAGGGCCCTTGCAAATAAAAGTTCTGAAATCAAAGTTTGATTAGCTTCATGGTAATCCAACTCTCCATTTGCCCTATCATTTTCTTCATAAACAAGATCTTTTCAACAATGGCTTTTGGGCCCTTAGTCTATTAGACAGAGCCCCATTCAATATTTGATGCACATATTGCTTATCTCACATAGACTCTAAGAGCCTTGCACACATCAGCTTCCTATGGACCCACCATAGTGTACTGCCTGAGAAAATTCTTAACAAATGGTTTGTATGTTAAATGTCATTTGTAGGTACAAAGTTTCGGTTCTGCAAGATGAGTAATTTTTGGAGATCTAATGTACAGCACATGGCAATGAGAGTTAATAGTACTGTTTGTATACTTTTAATTTGCTAAGAGGATATATCATAAGTTAAATCTTCTCAACACGCACACACAAAAAATGGTAGAGGCAGTGAGTATGTTAATTAGCTTGATTATGGTGATCATTTCACAACATATATGAATATTAAAACATTAAAACATTTGTACACCTGAGATACGTTCGTCAGTTTGCTCCTTTCTGCCCGTGGACGCCGCCGAAGCAGCATCATTAAAATCTCTCTTCTCCCCGCGATCATGTCTAAGTCAGAGTCTCCTAAAGAGCTGGAACAGCTGAGGAAGCTCTTCATTGGACGGTTGAGCTTTGAAACAACCAATGAGAGCCTCAGGAGCCATTCTGAGCAATGGGGAAATGCTCACAGACTGTGTGGTCATGAGAGATCCAAACACCAAGCGCTCCAGGGGCTTTGGGTTCGTCACGTATGCAACTGTGGAGGAGGTGGATGCAGCCATGAATGCAAGGCCACACAAAGTGGATGGAAGAGTTGTGGAACCAAAGAGAGCTGTCTCAAGAGAAGATTCTCAAAGACCAGGTGCCCACTTAACTGTGAAAAAAATATTCGTTGGTGGCATTAAAGAAGACACTGAAGAACATCACCTAAGAGATTATTTTGAACAGTATGGAAAAACTGAAGTGATTGAAATCATAACGGACAGAGGCAGTGGCAAGAAAAGGGGCTTTGCCTTTGTAACCTTTGACGACCATGACTCCGTGGATAAGATTGTCACTCAGAAATACCATACTGTGAATGGCCACAACTGTGAAGTTAGGAAAGCTCTGTCAAAGCAAGAGATGGCTAGTGCTTCATCCAACCAAAGAGGTCGAAGTGGTTCTGGAAACTTTGGTGGTGGTCGTGGAGGTGGTTTCGGTGGGAATGACAACTTTGGTTGTGGAGGAAATTTCAGTGGTCGTGGTGGCTTTGGTGGCAGCCGTGGTGGTGGTGGATATGGTGGCAGTGGGGATGGCTATAATGGATTTGGTAATGATGGAAGCAATTTTGGAGGTGGTGGAAGCTACAATGATTTTGGCAGTTACAACAATCAGTCTTCAAATTTTGGACCCATGAAGGGAGGAAACTTTGGAGGCAGAAGCTCTGGCCCCTATGGTGGTGGCGGCCAATACTTTGCCAAACCACGAAACCAAGGTGGCTATGGCGGTTCCAGTAGCAGCAGTAGCTATGGCAGTGGCAGAAGATTTTAATTAGGAAACAAAGCTTAGCAGGAGAGGAGAGCCAGAGAAGTGACAGGGAAGCTACAGGTTACAACAGATTTGTGAACTCAGCTAAGCACAGTGGTGGCAGGGCCTAGCTGCTACAAAGAAGACATGATTTAGACAAATACTCAGGTGTATGGGCAAAAAACTCGAGGACTGTATTTGTGACTAATTGTATAACAGGTTATTTTAGTTTCTGTTCTGTGGAAAGTGTAAAGCATTCCAACAAAGGGTTTTAATGTAGATTTTTTCTTTTTCCTTTTTTTTTTTTTTTGCACCCATGCTGTTGATTGCTAAATGTAATAGTCTGATCGTGACGCTGAATAAATGTCTTTTTTTTTAATGTGCTGTGTAAAGTTAGTCTACTCTGAAGCCATCTTGGTAAATTTCCCCAACAGTGTGAAGTTAGAATTTCTTCAGGGTGATGCCAGGTTCTATTTGGAATTTATATACAACACGCTTGGGTGGAGAAGCCAATGTCTTCAGAAACCTTGGTGTAGTTGAACTAATAGTTACTGTTGTGACCTAAAGTTCACGATTAAAAGGAATTACCCAAGCAAAAATCATGGAATTATTGGTTATAAAGATGATTGTTGGCACATCCTATGCAATATATCTAAATTGAATAATGGTACCAGATAAAATTATAGATGGGAATGAAGCTTGTGTATCATCCATTATCATGTGTAATCAATAAACGATTTAATTATCTTGAAAAAAACAAACAACATTTGTACACCTAAATTTTTTGCAATTATTATATGTTAGTGATATCTCAATAAACAAAAATTATTTTTAAATGTCATTTGCAGTCTGTTTAGGTTAGTGCAGCAGCCAACAGTGTCACTTAGGATGTTTTTGGGTCAGTATGGCTGGGCTCCATGACACCCAAATAAGATATGTATCACCCCACGAGGATTAGCTTTAAGATTAAAAAAAAAATCTATTATGATGTTGTCAATCAAGAATTTTTTTTTCTTGTGAGATGGAGTCTCTCTCTGGTGCCAAGGCTGGCGTGCAGTGGTGCAATCTTGGCTCACTGCAAGCTCCATCTCCTGAGTTCAGGTGATTCTCCTCCCTCAGCCTCCAGAGTAGCTGGGATTATAGGTGCACGCCACCATGCCTGCCTAATTTTTGCATTTTTTAGTAGAGATGGGGTTTCACCATGTTGGCCAGGCTAATGGCAAAACAAAAAAGAGAACGGTCTGTGATGAGCAAGATGCACGCTCCATGGCATAAACCCAAAAGGCAGGCTGGTGTGGTGGCTCACACCTGTCATCCCAGCACTAAGGGAGGCTGAGATGGGAGGATTACTTCAGCTCAGGAGTTTCAGACCAGCCTAGGCAACATGGCAAAACCCCATCTCTGAAAAAAAAAAAATAAGAAAATTAGTTGGGTGTGGTGGCATGTATGTATAGTCCCAGCTACTCAGGAGGCTGAGGTGGGAAGATTCTTTGAGATCAGGATTTTGAGGCTGCAGTGAGCTAGGATCATGCCTCTGTACTCCAGCCTGGGTGGCAGAGTGAGACCCTTCCTCTAAAATAACAACAGCAAAAAAAACAAAAAGGAGCAGAGAATGTGGCTGCCCCCACTACAGCAGTGTCTAACCTAGTTGGGGTGATGAAACAAGAATACAGGCCAATGCAGTCCTAAGTAATGGTGCGGCCAACTCCAGGAGACGGGACTTCATAGAAGAGATGGGACTTGAGCTGAGCTCTTAAGAAAGGTAGGATCTGGATGGAAAATCTGTATGTTTTTGAGGAGGAGAGTGTTAAGAAGAACAGTTTAACAGTGGCACACGGCAAGAAATGGGTGAGGCGGAATTGGGGGCAGAAGGAAATCAGCTAGAAAAGGCCTGGGGTAATAAGAGTTTCATCTATGGTAGTGGTGGCATGGTTACAGAAGGAAGAGATCCAAGAGGTATCTCTACAGAATAACAAGGTCTGGCCACATCCTGAAGAGAGGAAAGAGAGAGTCTGGAGGGGCTGCCAGATCTTTGGGTTCGAGGGCCTGGAGGGTTGGTGGTGTGTCTCTGTCAGAGATGAAGCCTGGGAAGGATGTCCCGTGAGGGTGGGGTAGGCAATGAGGAGTCAGTTACAGACACGTGTCTCAAGCGACAGTGAAACATCCCACCAGCAGTTGCCAATATTGGCTAAAGATGCATATCTGGGCATCATCTGTGTAGGGGTGAGAAATGGAGGCAGAAGAACAAATGAGCTCAGGAGGAAAGGGTGAGAGTGGAAGGCTGAGGGTGGTTAGGGTGAGGAGGGAAAAGGGGGAGCACAGAGAGCAGGAAGAACAACCACAAGGAGTCTGTGCAAATCAGAAAAGGCACCTTCCTCTCCAGGAAGATGCATCACACAGTCATGGTGATGCATCACGGGGCTTGGCTAGCAAAGTGCAGCTTGGATTTCAGCCCCTGTCACTTCCTCATGCAATCAACAGCCTGCACAACGGTATGAGAACTCTGACAGCAAAACAGCCAAGAGAGTAGAGTTGGAACATTCAGAGAACTGGGAAGAAAACCAGGAAGCCAAGAGAGCTCCCAGAAATGGATGATGAATGCCATCATTTGGCAAATGTTTGGATGAAACAGAAAAAAAAAAAAAAAAAGCTTTTAAACTTCTGTTGAAACCTGAACTAGTAACCCGGAGGGCAGACCAGGAAGAGGCAGTGATGTCCTGTGTAAGAAGAATTAACGCAGGAGGACTGAGGTGGGCCCTGGACACATCTCTGCCTCTAATATATGGTGTGACATAGGGCAAGGTGCTTGACCTGTGCCGCAGTTTCCTCAGCTATAAACTACAGAGGTTATAAATGATGCCTAAGTCCCTTAAATTGTAAGAATTCTATTAATTAGAAAGCTCAGGAATTTACCACTTCAGATGTTCCTGTATACCAAACTTCACTCTCCCAAGGAAGCTAACCTAAATGCCCAAACTAAAGAAACTGGTTATGTATACAGCCACTTGAGGGTATTTCAGGGTTTTTACTGGTGTTTGAAAGGGGGATTAAAGTTGGCTCTCATAGTCAAAGGATTCTCATAAACAATGCCTTTTCATTCCCTCCCAGATCATGGCAGAGGGAATCAGGGAAGCAGTAATGGGACTCCAATTGAGTGGCCTGATTTTGTTCCTAGTGAACTGGCTGGAACCCTCTACACCCCTAGAATGCTATTAATAAAGTTTTTATTCTACTTGCATTTTCCTTGCAAGAAAAAAAGGGAAGAAAAGAAAGGAGAGAAAGGCTAAAGGAAATTCACATGAGATTCACAATTCTTCATCCTGCCAAGAACCTGTCACTGAAGTATGTCTGGGGTTGCCAGGGCTCATATTTAGTCAGCATTCATGCTCTAATTATTTCCACATGTAGTTCAAGGAAAATGGTTGATCAAAAGTTAAAAAAAAAATTCCACACACCTAAATCCCAGTACCTTCAACTAAAAGAAGAGAGAAAGCTCTAGGGCAGCTGTGGGAAAATTCCCAAGACAGGCAGTTTTAGAAGCATCCCCTGCAGTGACTGCCACATCTGGGCCAACATCCCTGCACATTCCCATCCCTCCATCCCAAGCAAGCTCACCCTCTACCTCCTCCAGCTTCCCAAGCCCTGAATCCATTAGGATTCACATTCTTTAGAGTTCTAAGTGGAATGTAGGATTTATTCCCCTGATATTGTAGAAGGCAGATGAGACGGGTATCGCCTAAGAGGTATCTAGTTCTCCTCTCCATCCATTTTGCCTTGGGTGCCACTGAATTTAAGTCATCCCTGGGTGGTTCCTGATACCACATACCTGCCGGGAATGGAATCCCCTGTGGCAGAGGGCTTGCATGCTTCCCTGAGCTGGAACAGTCCCCACCATCCCTTCTGTGGCTGCTTTTCATTACCCCAATTTGCATATGATTCCCCCTAAACCTGCAAGCTAAGCCACTGTTCTCCAAGGTGGTCCACATGCCCTGGCACTGAGTTGGATGCCCGACAATGTCATCTACTGCCTTCTACCTGAGCATGTTTAACAAAGTTTTTGGCACATGGTGCAGGGTGTTTTTCCTTTCTCCTGGGTGACTTCATTGTTTATGCAGCTAGTCTCAAGATCCTTGGGCTCCTCACCTCGAGCAACCCTCCACTTCCTAGGGACGGTGGCTACTGATGGCTTTGGGAAGTATCTGTGAGCAGAACAGGTAGCCACAGTGAACTAAAATAAAACAAAGGGTCCAGGGCTCCCAGGGTTCTATGTTTTGAAATGAGAACTCATTAGCCTTTGAAAATGTCAGCATGATGAAGAATTGCTAGATGCTTCTTTAACCTTCAGATGGGCAGATAATGTCCCACAAGACCAGCTAAAAAAATAATGTCACCATCTGGGAAGTCTGATTTCTCTGACTTGCCCAAATTCTTCCTGTCCTTCAAGGCTTGGCCCAAGTTATTTTCGATTGGTATGAATCCCTCCTTCCTTCTCTGAACTCTGATTCCTTTTTATATGAACTAATTTTGTTCACTAAAAAAAAAAAAAAAAAAATAGAACTGATTGTGTGGATTTTGTCTTTCTGGTTGACCTAAAGGCTCCTAGAGGACAAAGATTATGTTTGTCAGTCCTTTTGTAGGACCTAGCATAGTACCTCGTGCCACTTGATTAACCTTTGTTGAAAGCAAAGAAGGGTGGACTGAACCACACTGCCTGGGAGACTTGGGATAGGGACAGAGAGGAACGTGCCTGTGCCAACTCCTTTCCTGAGGCTGCTCCCTCCCAGAACTGGTATTTTTTGAGGAAATAGCCTAAAGACCCTGCCCTCCTCCACCAGGCCATAACTATTCAGTCTGGAATTTCACTAGAGATTGTCTTAGGCCCACAGAAAGACACTGAAGTGTGTGTGTGTGCACATGCGTGTGCATGCACCTGTGTGTTAAGAAGGTAGACAGGAGAGCAACGGGGGACTAAAATGGCTTTTGGTCATTTCCTCTGTTCACAGTTAACACACACCCTAACTGAGACATGCTGAGAGAATCAGAACTTAGTGAAGTGGAAGATAAGTTAATGGGAATGTGGGGTACCTCAGAGCAAAGCAAAATTGGGCGAGACTTCTGAGTATAGGGTAGGGGCAGACAAAGAGCTGCCTGATACCTTGGGGGCCTATACTAGGCAAAGTAGAGATGGAGAGAAGCAAGTGAGAAGGCAAGAGAAATCGTGGAAATGGGCTTATTATCCAAGGCTGTTGCTTTGTGTCAACTCTTCTCAGGAACCCTGCCCCTACACTGTCCTCTGAGGTAGAGGGAGGCAGGCTGGTCAACCTTCCTACAGCAGGAAAAAAGCTTCTTGCCTTGCTCTACCCCTCCTCCCAGAATGTTCTGGGGATCTCTAATCACTGGCTCATCCACTAGGCTGACCTTGCAGTGGGCTGTTATACACTGAAACATGAGTTGCCAGGGGACGGCAAGGCCTTAGCTATGCTCAGGTGGTTTATTTCGCCTTGGATTGGGTACATTAAAAGGCACTGTGATGCCCAACCAAGAGGTGAGACCATCTGACAGAATGGTGGAGGCTGGGGGGACAGTGGGCATGTTAGGGTTGACTGGACCAAAATGGAGCTGGGAGACCCAGCATAGCAGAGCAGCACAAGCCTCCGCTTTACAAACAGGGACAGGCCAGGTGCAGTGGCTCA